GTGAAGGAGACGGTCAAGAAGTTAATGGTAACCAAACTGCTTTCTCACGTGAAATAACATATATCTATATATCTTATGTGTACTATTTTGAAAATATTATCTATGCATAATTATCATTGATGCTAGCTCAGTTTTGTCTTAAATAATCACGTAATTATTCTCCAAAAGTATTTATGTATGTATTTATTTATTTATTTATTTTTTACTTCACGTTTTCTTCGTTCGGTCAGTCTTTAACTTGTTGGTTTGTTAACTTAAGCATCAGTGGTTTTAGTTCACCTGTTGTTCTGTGGGTGATAGAGAGACTGTCTCCTCCTATAAGTGATATAGCAGCAGATACCTGATGGAAGATAACTTTAGGTCAAAATCAACTCATTTACAGTGGATGTTTATTTCATGGTTTTGACAGTGGATATTTATTTCACGGTTTGTGATACTCAGTATGTCTTATGACTTTTGTGAGTTAATACTGAAATAACATGTTTGGATTCATTTTTCGTCCCTCAAGATGTATGAAAAGTATATTTTAAAATTTTCCTAGTGGATGCTATGGTATCCATGTGAAGAAGTCTATATTTATGAACTCACTATTCATACTAAAATCAGAGTACTTCATTAAAAAAAAGACTCATAAACCAGAATTCTTGCATAAATTCTTTTTGAAACTTGCATCTTTATTTTCAACACAATATTACCTGAATATTTAACCATTCTGATCAGTTCTCAGGTGATTTGTGGACTGAACCTTAAATGGTGCACTTTTTCTGCCGACCTTTAAACTTACTCTAAATGTCAGTTTTAAAAATCTAAACATTTATTCAAATATGTCAAATAAAAATAGTACCCTTTGAAATATAGTAATTTTTCAACTTCTATCCATAAGGCAGTGAGACCATTATCTTTTCCTTAGATACAATATTTAAAATTCTGAAACTTTGAAGTTGAAATGACTGTTCTCTCACCCATCAGAATGACTTAATCCATACGTTAATCCTTAAAATGAACCTTTTTAAACGCAGATAATCAAACATATTTTTCTAATACCTAATAGTGAGTTTTACTGTCTTATGGGAATTAACACAAAAGTGGAATTCTGTCACTAAATATACTTAGGCTGCGGGAGATCACACACTGTTTTTTTCTAATTCTTTTTTTTTTCAAATGAGATATTGTTCTTTTTTTCCCCTCCCAACTTCAATGAGTATCCAGGTATCCACAAGGAACCCAATAGTACAATAGACATTTTAAAAAATGTGATTCTTAAAAATCAAAGTTCCTATACTTATGAGAATGAAGGAGCAAACAAACAGTACGGGTATTGCAACTGGCAACTTGAAACAAGATATGTTTAGGTGTTCAAATAGGGAAAGTACAGAGAAGTAGTGATGGGGAATGAAGGAGGAGGGAGAAAATACTAGAGTAGCATAGATTAATGGATGGACAAATGGGGTGAAGGAATAGCCAAGGATTTCATGAGATATGGTGATAAAATGTTCTGATGAATTTTAATCGACATTATAAAATATAATACATATGAAGGTGCACCCAGGATGATCTTTGAAGGAAAGAATGATGAAACTTGGTCTTACATACTGTGGGCATATGGTAAGAAGAGGCCATTCCTTGGGAAAGAACATGGTAGTTGGAAGGGCAGATGGTCAGCAAAGAGAAGAAGGCCTTCAATGAAATGAATTATTACAGTGCCTGGAGCAATGGACTCAAGTATATTAGAAATGGTTGGGAATGCACAGAACAGATCCGTTGTTCATTGGGTGACTATGAGCTTGGTCAATTCAATGGCATCGTAAACAACAGCAACAAAGTCTATGAATGATTGTATGATAACTCATTTTAAAAGTTTCTATATTTTCTGCAGAAGAAACATTTTTTAAAACTTTAAAATAAACCATGTTCTAATTATTTTTACATATTAATATCTGTATATAGACAAAGCAAGAATTCTAATGTTTACAATAGCTGAAAGATTTATAGTGAATTTCAAGACAAAGGGCTAATGGAAAAGTAAATCGTATAAATGGTCATACACTGTTCAAAGGAGTTGAATTGATTAAATAAAACTACACTAAAGAAGCTCTGTTGGCCTATTGATTAGGAGCTATGCTGCCAACTCAATGGCAGGTAGTTCAAATCCATCAGCTGGTCTATAGTCATCTCCCGTGTAACTTACTGCCTCTGAAAATTGACTGGAAGGTCAAGCTATGAGTCATTTCTGACTCTACAACCCCTAACAACAGCAATGGACAATGTCAAAGATTTCATGTGTCTTGGATCCATAATCAACAACGAAAAATAAAACAGCAGACAGGAAAAACTCCCTTCTTACTGCTTTAGGAAACTCTAATGCTAAAGATACTTTCAAAGAGCAAAAGACTAGTGATGGCAACTTGGATTTCTTAAAATACAATTTGTATTCAAGAATTAATGACTATTACATATTTATTTTTATACAGAAATTTTGCAAAGCTCATCTGTTTTATCTACAAATTATTTGATATATATTTTCTTGTGAAAAGTCAGATTGGTAAAATGGCATTTTCATATTTCTATTTGTTGTAATTGTTTTATTTATTCATTTGTGCTTGTATAATTACTACCTAACTTGCTGGCTGAAAAAGCCTTGACAAAAGTAAGAACGAATGGTAATGTCATCCTTTTTAAATAATTAAAACAATCATTTCATTAATTCCTCAGTTTTTATGTGGTAATACTTGATCAGTAAGGGTGCTGTGGTGGTCTTGTCATAAGGAAGTGTGATGCCCATCCAAAGGCATGGGGTTAGAATTCACCACCTGCTCCACAGGAGAAAGATGGGTAATCTCCTTTCACTGGATGGTCAGTTATAAGTTCCTACTTGAAAGCACACTACAGCAAACAAGAGCTTAATAAATGATGGTAAATGAAGAAATTTCTTTCTTTTTTGTGTTCTATCATGGGTTGGTTCTAAATCCTTGCAGATATTGTTTTTTTGACTTGTATTAATATTTGGTGATTTGGGAATAATATTAATTCATTGACAATTACTGCTGTCATGGTAATTTATCCTTTCTCAGTGCTGAGGAGTCATTGATCTGATCCTGCTGGGCTTTGAGTGTTCCTGATTTTACATTGAGTTCTGTGCTGGTATTTGCCCCTTATCATCTGTCACAGTCGTTTAGAATACAGTCAACTCTTCTGTCTTTGAAACTACTGTCCAGTTACATTTCAGAAAACACTGAATAATAAAGCTGAGTGTCTACTGTTTTATAATTTTAATAATTACCTTATGGCTTAGCCAATTTCAGTATTTCATCTTAGTTATTTTCTATAGCTTAAACATCATGTTTATTTTTATTTTGTTGTCTTCTATTTTACCTAGTGTGGTAGTAAAATGGCAAACTGTATTGATACATATAGTTGTCAAACACTGAATCAATAACTGTTTCAGAGTGACAACTACGTTTTAAGTATACTAGTCCTTGAAGGGATGTCAACTCTTTGGAGGAATGGTTTTAGAATTGCAACATACTAGTATTGGGGGCTATAATGACCTATTGTTTGCATATGCCATAGAGTTCAAATTGACACATAGCTGACCCTCCAGCACGTTTTCAGAGGCAGTAAATTCCATGGGAGATGATTGGTCATCTTTCTCCCTCAGAGAAGTTGGTGGATTAGAACTTTGTACCTTGGGAATTGCAGAGCAGCTTCTTACCATTAGGCCTGCAGAACTCCTTATAGTGATCTTGTTAGGTGCCATTGAGTCCAGTACAACTCATAGCGGTCCTATAGCTAATCTATAGCTATCCTGTGTCATATTCATCATGTCTGATTGCTGGAGTAACCATGTCAATTTTTCTCATTGAGGATCTTCTTTTCCTTCACTGATCCTCCAACTTCCCAAGCACGGTGTCTCTTTCCAAGGAAGAGCCTTGCCTAGGTACAAACCCAAAGTATGTGAGATGAATTATTATCATCTTTGCATCCAAGGCTGTACTTTTTCAAAGACTTACCTGTTTGCTCTTTTGATAGGCCGTGGATATTCAGTACACTTCTCCAACACCACAACTCTAAGGCATAAATTATTGTTTTTCTCAGCCTTATTCATTGTCCACCTCTCTGATGATGCCTAGCAGGCGATTTCTACAGTCAACTCAAAGGTCAGCATTTTGAATTTGCTAGCTGCTTTGTGGAAAATACATGAGCATTCAAGTCCTGTGCAATTTATTGCCTCTGAAAACCATTGCATGGCCAGCTATGGGTCGGTTTCCAACATTATGGCACAGAACAGGAACAGTATTTTTAGTCAGTGATTTTTAAAGTGTAATTTATTGTATACAGTTTGCTCATCTTTGTTCTTCAAATTTTAGTTTACAAATAATATTAGAAATCCTGTAATTTGAGAAGAGGGAGACACCTTCTATAACCAGTATTCTATTTTAATATAATTATTGCTTAGATATTAGGACTTTTTTCAGTGATGTATCTCACTTTAATATGTTTAAGGGAAGGTGCAGACAGAGTGGTCCTTCCTGTAGCATACT